CCTGAGCTTTGGCGACGGCTAGCGCCTTGGAATCCTCGGTCTCTTTAGCAGCTCTCCTGGCCTCCTCAGCAACGACCTCAGCATCAGCCTTGTTCCTTTCTGCAGCCTCCAATTTTAGCTTCATTTGCCGAAGCTCCTTTTCTAGCCTGGCCCCCAGATTCACCGCCTCGTTGTTTTTGAGAATATACTCCTTCATTTTGGCGTCCTGCTCCGCTTTATGGAGGCGCCATTCTTGAAGCCTCCGGGCGTGTTCGCCGAGGGCTAGACAAGCCTGCAGATCAACAACAAAAACGGTTAAGGCAATCACGCAAAATGATCAAAGGAAAAGAGGAAGAAAGCCGAGTGAACACTTACAGAGAGGGAGGAGCGGAGAATGTGGTCCTCGAGGGCCACATCATTATAAGCCCCGAGGGCAGCCCTATCCATCTCAGGGGTTATGCCCCTCAAGATGGTCCCCGGGTCAACAGCGCCGCTGGCCAGAGATGTACCCCTCGGAAGAGAAACATGGAGGACAGTCAGCAACTCCTCTGCCCCCGCCGGCGTTCCATCCGATGGCTTCTCCACATGCACCCCGGAGGCGGGGTGCTCATCAACAATCACGACCGGGGGCTCCTTATCGGTGATATCCCCCTTCTTCGGCTTTTTGGTAGCCGGGGGGGACCCCTTGGCCGCCGCCTTCCTTTTGCTGGCAGCGGCATCGCCCTCGGATTTTTTGAAGAGGGCAGCGGCGGGCTTCTGGTTGCCCTGTCCCGACCCCTTCGGGTCCTTGTTCTTCAGCCGCGCAAGGCCCTTCACGTTCACCATTGACACGGGGATACCTGCAAAGATACGACAAAGGATTAGGCCGATGGGTCTACAGCGAAGGGACAATGACATCCAAGCAAAACAAAAAAAAGACTAAGTACAAAAATCTAAAGCCCTCGGCTCCTACCTCCGGCTCCTCCGAAGGCCTTGTTAAAGAGAGGATACTTTTCGTCGGTCTCCCCTATGAAGCGGTACCTTCGGAACCCGAGGGTGTATAAGTCTTCCTCAAGGGTGCAATCTTTAATCGCCACATTCTTATTCTTCCCTTCCGGGAACTTGGCGAGCTTTAGGCCGTCTTTCTCGAGGGCAGCACTCCTGATCTTTTCGTGCCTTCGGAATCGATCGCGCAGTTCCCTCGGGAATGGGTTCTCGTCCAGCTTCACATAACACCAACGTGCCCTCCACCCTTTATTTGAAGAAGGGGCGTCGGAGAATAGTTTGAAACGGGCGATCTGCTGCAAATTCGCGTATCCCTCGCCGTTTTCGTGCCCCCCTTGGCACAGGTTAAAGCTCTGGAAGAATAGATCCAGGCTGGGCTTCACCCCTCGGGACTTGCAGAGCTGGAGGAACCCCGCGATGTAGGAGTGGCTGTTGGGCGTAAGCTGGCAGGGGACCAAACCAACAAACCTCAGGTACTCCCGAAGGAACGGGTGCAGAGGGAACCTAAGTCCCATAGAAACCGAGAGGATGTGGACGGCGATACACCCCTCGGGCGCCCTGGACAACACGTCGTCAGGACCCGGCTCCACCACTTCGGCCGAGGGCCCCACGTGCAGCTGAGTAACGTACAGATCTGCCTTATCGGCTTTCGACTTAATCTCGAGGGCCTCAGTGTTCAACCAACTGTACCCCTCGGGCATGTCCACTGGTTTTCCTTGATCAACAGCCCTCTCCTTCTTTTTGGTAGCGGCCTTCGCCTTCTTCTTCTTCAACCCGGAGACCGCCCTCAAAGGTGTCGGATCTAGCGGCCTCGAGCTACTTGCTTCCCCAGAACCCCGGGGGGGGGGGGGGAGAACAACAACTGTAACCTTCGTACTCTCATTTTGTGTCTCGTCCTCCGCTACTTTGCCATGCGAGGGCTAGGTCTTCATCCTCACACTCTTGCTCGAAGCCCTCGGCTTCGACCTCAGCAATAAGTTCCTTCTGGACCTCCAGGGCCAGGGTGGCATCACCACCAACCGAGGGCTCGCTCACGGACTCCGCATCAGAAACATGCTCCTCACCAACCGAAGGGTCCCTCGAAATGTTTTGGGAATCACTCTCGGACGACATTTTTATCACGAAATGTGCCTAAGATTCCGAAAGCTTTCTACAGGCTCTAGCACCTAATCTAAGGCCACAGGGCGAAACTTACTACGAACTTTGAAGAAGGAGGGATTGACCTTTGAAAGCAGCGGATTCGACCGAAGGCTTGAGTTTCTCTCTCTAGAAAATTTGGCAGAGCTTCGCTAAGGATGTTGGATGCGTAAAGGAGGAATGGCATTGGCTTGGGGTATTTATAGGCTCCCAGATCCGGGCCCCCAGCGGCCAAAGCCATCATTACGTACCGTCGTTTCACCCAACCGGTGACGCCCGCCCACGAGCAGCCAACGGCTACACTCCACGTGTCCTCCTCCTCCAACGGGCATATTCCAACGGCTACTTTCTGGGACCTGGGGGTACGCCCTCGGGCGAACACACCTTCAGCAACTAAAAGGCAGCCCCCCGAGTTGCCTCCTTCACTTCAACAAAAGGGGACCCACGGACTCACCCCTCAGCTCATTAATTTCCAGGCAGCCCCCGGGGAACGTCACTTCATCAACAAGCACCCCCGGCTACAAAACAAGCGTACCCCTCGGGGTCATCACTATTAAACTTCACACAAACGGATAGCCTCCGGCATACAAGCAACGGGACCCCTTGGGTACCCCCTTCATCAATTAATCAACAAGAAGGAAACTCCCTTTGTCCCCTGGACTGAGGGACCCCCCTTTCGGAAAACAACACAAACGCCCTCGATCTTATGGATTGAGGGACTCTCCCTCGGCACCTCCCAGGATATCAAGAAATGTGCCTTCGGCAATGCAACAAACATGCCCTCAGACTATGAAAGCCTTCGGCATCAACATTTCGCTTCATTTCAGACCAAGGCTTTAACCTTTTTGATTCATCCTTGGGGGAATTCGGTGCACTCTTTTTCCCTCATTAGGATTTTTTTTCCCACAGGGTTTTTCCTAATGAGGTTTTTAACGAGGCATCCCCCCAAAATGAAGCGAAAAGCGTTAACCTTCGGCCACATACAGCAACGGATAATACTCTACTCCTTTTCACCACTTTACAAGTGCCTCAAGGAGTGGGGGACTGGAGAACCCCTCCGGGAAAATCACAAAAATACAAAAATATCAAAAACCCTTACAGATGGCAAAGCAATCCCTCAAGTCCCGACATGTGGGTAACTGAGGGACTGCCTTCGGCAGGGACACGCAAACAACAACTCCTCACCAAACTACAACGGAGCAACATCAAATGGCAGACACAGTTTACTCCTTTTCCCTCAAGTACCTTTCGGCAAAAGGAGTGAGGGACTCCTGATGGAGTATATGGCCCGGGAACCCCCGGCCCACAGACTCCCACCACTCCAACAAAGGCCCAACAAGCCCAAGAAGCATTGCAGGCCCAAAATTATAACGCTCCAAGCACAAATCAACCCTCAAGGCACATTGGGGTGCCCTCGGCCCCCTGACCGAGGGCTCCAAACTATCACAGCATGGATATTTCGAACAAACAGAGGAACTGGGAGAAAACGGCGAAAATAGTAGCCCTCGGCATCTGGAGCCCTCGGCATTAGGGGTAACCTCGGGTTATGAAGCCTTCGGCCTGTCACTTTCAGCCGGAGGCACCTCAAACGACAGGATCTCTTCTCCACTTGCGCCTGAATCACCGTACCAAGTACGACGTCACATCCAACCGCCACATTTAATGCGGCCACATGGGAGCGCCAGTGCCGTCCCGATTGATGTGACCCCTCGGCCAATGGACGTTTGACACGTGTCCCTGTCCGGCATTTATTGCTACTATAAATAGCACCCCTTTTCCCCATTTGTAACCAAGTCAGAAACGCTGAAAACGCTCCACACTTTGCAATACACTTTCTCTCTCTATATTTACTTGCTCTGACTTCTCTCTAGTTATTCTCCGTAATAACCCCTCGGATAAGCTACCCCCGGGTACACTATCCATCAGGGTCATCCATCCCAAGACTACTCTCTTGCAAGGAGATGCATCTTGTTGGTATGAGTAGTACTATTAATCCGTTTAAATTAAATTTCAAGTATTACAGGTATGAAGATACATATATTAAGATTCTCGAATATGTTTCCTATATTAAACATTAAATGGTGGAATTACTCTTTTATTATTTCAGCCCTTTTTGCGCGTGGGATTTATTGAATTTTATTATGTAATCATTTTAACACTATTTTAAAAATACTGATGATAACTTAGCGGTAGATCTTTTAGGCAATTGTGTTACAGTCATATAGAAGTGGTATAGTTCGTGTATTTCTACTTCAAAATAGCTATTACAACACATGTTAGCATTCCACATGTGTTTATTGACATACGGACTAATTTTTTGTAGTTTAGTATACACCTCAATTATTATCTTGAGCAAAAACAAACGATTAGATAATGAATTGAAGACTACTTTATTTTTAATTAAGCATTGGTTTTTGTGTTTAGGTTTAGGCCTTCTTATAGTTTTTAATCAACACAGTTATTAGCAACAAAAATAAAATCATACGGAGTACGGAGTACTACATATGCTTTTGGAAAGGTTTGGGATCGATGCTATTTCCAAAATTTCAAGATTTGTACCTTAAGAAGTGTTGCTATTGGCAATAAATTCAAATCTGGACTCTATTGTCTAAACTTTACCATCATTGATCAAAAAAGTCAAAATGTATCAATCTTTTTGGGACGGAGGTAGTACATTGATAATTTTAATTGTATTGTGGTATATAGACAATACTCATATTCCGTGCGATACGGGTATCATACTAGTATATACGAAGTATATATATATATCCTCCGTGCCTAAACAAACTTCCAACTTTCTTTTTCAGTCAGTCCCATTTAAAACTTCGACTTTTCTTTTTTGGCAAAGAATTTGAGATTCATAATAATTCTTACGCTATCAAAGTGTATGCCAAATTTGGAATTTGGAAGTTTAATAAGGGAAGGACGTAGTATACGATATTCGTTCACAGTGGTACGAACTGGGTCAGATCCGTATAGGCAGAACCCAGAGGCCTCTCACGTGGAGTCTCCAGTCATCTTCCCCGGCCTGCTCCGATCAACCAGCTGAGCGAATACCACATATATAATAAAAAATAGAAAATCGCAGGGGCACGAGCCCCTCCAAGCCCCTTACGTAAGTTCCGCCCCTGTCTGGTATGTTTTCTCTCTTTACTTGATTGTAGTTCTCCAGCACATTTTTGAACAAATTTTTGAAAGCCTTCGCTTTCCTTTTCACATTAGGTCTGAAACTGCAAGACATTCTTTTAGAGGAAAAATATGTATTTATCCCCAATTTTGCTTATGATTTTTTAGTGTTTTTCTTTTGTTATGTTAGGATAAAATCTTGAATTTTTGTTAGCCTTTATATATATTTAAGGATAGACTTCACCTTCTTGAAGGGAATCAGTAAATAGGTTAGTTTGTTTTTTTCTTCTATTTTCCATCTTCTTAATCTTCTCAATAGAATAATAGGTTTTACTTTCTTCTACTGTCCATGTGGATAAAATTGGGGTTGGTTCATGGCTATCTCGAGCTTGCCTTTCCTTTCCGAAATACAACAAAAAAGAGGGTCATTTGATATGATATTATGGTTCAACCAGGTGGATCAATAGTTTGGTTCATTCTGATTTTAGAATTCAATTATTACATTATTAAATGAAATCTATCCTTGGGTTCATTTTGATCAATTGTTGGGTTCATCCTGATTTTAGTCATTTACTTATTACATTATTTAATGAAATTCAGTGTTGGGTTCATTCTGATCTCGTAGCGCATTCTGTTTCCTTTTATCTCGCAAGCGTGTAATAATGGCAGCAATGGACAAGCAGAATACTTTGGATTACATCAATCAGATGTTTCCTACAGGTCACTCATTTATTAATATCAGCATAAATTTAGCTATATGCTATCGTGCTCTATGAAATTGTGTAGCCCACTAGCCCCATATGCTTTTTGATACATTCTCGCTATAATCAGCTGAGTTTGCATCATGTAGCCATTGAACCAACAAGGTGGTTCAAAAGTTCAATACTTAGTATTTACTCCGTGTAAGTTTTGACAAACAATACCCATTAATCTTTTATCGAAGTATTAGGCACTCTTGCTTTCTCTAATGGTTTGTGTCATTGTGAGCGCGTTTGGTAACCCATGTATTTCAGCTTATGAGGCCTATCGTCAAACTTTTTTACAAAACATGTAATTTTTTATTTCACATGCTGAATTGCGTTGTAATCAAAATAAGTAAGGTTGAAGTTATTTTTCTGGCTGAAGTTACTATAAAGGACTATTTTAGCTATTTTTCATATAATTTTTTTGATCTATTAATAAAACTTATTTTAAATATAAAATTTTCCATAGATCAGCAATTCAATCGCTTCAAACAACATTTCATTAATTTCCACAATTTCAACTAATTCAGCCCATTTTAGAGTTACCAAACTGGGCCATATCAATTTTCTAAATTCAATGATTAACATTGAAAAATAATTGAGCAATACTTAAAGAATAATTAAACTGCTAGAGTTTTATTTTAAGTTGGGCAATAAGCTCATTTAATTAAGCCAATAAAATTATCAAGTAATTTAATATGTGGAAGATTGTTAATTTTCAGAAGCATCTTTATCTGGAGTTGAGCCACTAATGCAGACTGTACATAGTGAAATTCGTAGGGTAGATGCTGAGATATTATCTGCTGTTCGTCAACAGGTTATTTATCCTATCTCTCAGGAACTCCTCACACGTTTATCTCTAGTACATATTATGACCTACTTGGCTACTTGTTTTGTAGATTTTTCTTTTGTTTCTCCACCTGCAAACTTGGATATTCCTGATAACCGAACCTCGAATCTTACTTCTGCACTTTTAGTTCTCTGCCTCTTGTGGCACCGATTACCACTGTGAAGTGGGTGTATTCATCGATTTGGTTTTATCAGTTTTCAATTTTGTAGGTTTGGTTTTGAGAAAGGTAAAACTGTAAACTGAAATGACTACAGTTAGTCGGCTTCAGTTAATTTTGGCCAGCTTTGGCAGTGGCGGAGCCAGGATTGACATGTTATAGGGGCCGGGGCTTAAGGAATTTATATAGCAGGGGCCAAAACTTAAATTTTCAATATATTTTTTACTATTTATAAATATTTATACATGTATATATACATCACAATTTTTTTTCTTGCAGGGGCCAAGGCCACCGCCAGCCTCCCCCTGTCTCCACCCCTGAGCTTTGGCATTTTTTGATCGGTTTTCATGCTTAATCCTCAAACCTTGAACTGAACCGCCTATGGTTTGGTTGGTTGTCATCGGTTCAGTTTTCGTCGTTTGGTTTCGGTCAGTTTGTCAAACAGTTTCTTTTGTCAGGTTCTTTGGTCAACCCTACTGTGAAGCAATCATTGCTAGAACTCCTATTATGAATTTGATGTAAACAAACTTTGCAGAAAAGAAGCACTGCTTTAATTATTGTTTATCTGTGAACATTTCTTTTTCCTCCGGGTAATTTCTTCGTTCACAACATAAATTTGATTTGCGGAATCTTATCTTTTTCAGAGTCATTCTGGATCCAAAGCTAGGGAGGATCTCGCTGCTGCTACACAAGCTGTGCAGGTCTGGATGACATATACATTTTTTACATTCTACATTGAAGGAGTCATATCTTTTTATATTCTTATGTTATTTTTATCTTCTAGCTTTTTTATGCTCTTTTATTTATTTTTCTTTTATCTTGGTTATATTCTTGTGTTATTGTTATCTTATATTTATGTATCTTTATTTTATTCATTTTATCTTACTTTTTTTCCTTTTCTTGTCCACCTTCTCTTTTTGGCATCGATATCATAGATCGATTCATGTTAGCCGACCCCAAATTCTTTTGGGATTAAGGCTTGGTTGTTGTTGTTGTGTACATTTATGGAACACCATGACTACAATCCTACATCAATACAAGTTATTACTACCCCGTATAATACTATCAGATAGTACCTTCATCCTTCTGTTTTTTGACTGTTGATTCAATTTATTTTCCCTTTTTATGCCAGGAACTAATGTATAAGATTCGAGAAATCAAAACTAAAGCAGAGCAAAGTGAAACAATGGTCCAAGAAATATGCCGTGATATTAAAAAATTGGATTTTGCAAAGAAGCATATAACAACAACAATTACTGCACTTCACCGCCTCACAATGCTAGGTAAAAATGTAATTTTTTTTCTTTATCGCACTATCTTGGGTGTTTACTTCCATATAAAGTTTCACAATCAGGGAATGCAAATTGCTATGGATTTGGATGTCCGTTTACCTGATGCTGAAAAGATATAATGCTATTGCTGCTCTGCTTAAATAGTTACATGAGTGGAAAATAGAGTTCAGTAGCTTTAATAGAAATTAGTTCAAATAGGACTAAAACTATGGCAAAAACCTAAAATAGGACTTGCTATGTTTTTATTCCAAAATAGGACCATATGAGTCCTATTGGAAACATACCTATTTTTGCATTCCATTCTTACCCTTCCATTAAATATGAATTAAAAATAGTCAAAAGCCATAATTAAATGTTTAATTCATAATAAATTCGGAAAAAATTCAAAAATTCGTAGAAATATAATTAAAAAATTTATAAATTTTTATAAAATAAAAAATTCAAAAACCTTTTTTTAAAAAAATAATTTTATTTTTAAAAAAAATCATAAAAAATAGTAAAACTCCGTAAAAAAAATTTAAAAAAATATGGATGCCTTTCCCACCGCCTGTACTACCTCCCAGCACCACCACCTCCGGCCGATGAAAAAAATGCCATTTTCCCAGAAAAATGCCATTTTTTTCTGAAAATGCCAAAAAAGTGGCATATTTCTCTTTTCGAATGCCAACATTTTCATTTTTTCTGCCATAAATATGGCATTCGTAATGAACTTGGCATTTTTTTCCCTGGTGACTGGAGGTGGTGGTGCTGAGGCGGCAGAGGCGGCGACGATTTTTTTTTTTGAGTTTTTATTTGTTTTTATTTTTTTTTTAATTTTTTAAATTTTTTTAATTTTTTGAAAAAAAAAATTAATTAAATTTTTAATATCGAAATGTTTTTCTTAATTTTTTAGTATTTTTTACGAATTTTTATTATTTTTTATTATTTTATTAGGAATTAAAACATTTTAATAGCTATAAGGGTATAATTGTCCAAGGTACACATAATTAGTCCTATGCAAACATAGTTTATTTTTTAGTCCTATTTGTGAAAAGTGAATGACTTTTAGTCCTATTTTGATAATTAACTCTAGCTTTAACTGTTACATAGATTCTGTGAGTATATTCAGCTTGCATTACACTGGAAGCATGAATGCATGCTACTGCAGGTGGTGCAAACTGCAAACATGAGAGATATGATAAAGCCTAAAGGGCATGTTGGGATGTGCTTTTATGACTGAAATAACTTATAAGTGCTTTTGTGGATCCAAGATATTATTTTTAAGTATGTTATCATCTAGGAAAACTTTGGCCTATAAAACACTGCTTGTGTATTTGCTCATCTACAAAAAGTATTTTCTATTAAAGTGATATTTGTATGCCTGAACTGTATATTTGTACGTCTATTTGGTTATAACTTTTGCTTTCTTTGCCACTGTTTTGATTCAAGAATCTGATATACCCTCTCAAAAAATGTTTCTGTGCGCTCTTTGGTTCATGGTAGGCTGAACAGGTGAACTATAATGACCTGCTTAAGTGTGACTGCGTGATGGCCAACAAAGAGTCCATATCTTAATTGTGCTTTTATGTGCGAATGGGCTAAATCTGATTCTAACTTGTATAGACTTTATAACCAAGATTGTCCTTTTGCATCTAAAATAAACAATCAGGAGTTAAGGAAGTTTTATTTCTTAAAGTATACTCCCTCTGTCCCAGCTTTCCCATTTTATTTTAGGAAATAATTAGCAATCTTAAATGACAATTAATCATCAAATATTGAAAATAATACATCTATGACATCACAGTTATCATCAATGACCTCATTATGCTATATGCCCATCAAATATACTTTTAAAAATATACTTGAATATCCTTGTTTAATTATTGTCTAAATAATTGTGCCAATTCTCAATGAGAAGTTTAAGCCGGGACGGAGGTAGTAGTTTACTATGTACAATTGATTGGTGAATTTTGGATTTTTGGGTGAGGTATATTCTATGTTTTCTTTTTAGCACACATACATGCCTTCTTTTAGAGGGCATGCTTGACAGCCTGGTTGAATCTCTCCCTTGTGTCCTTCCAAAAAGAAAGGGAAAGGTGGTCTTGGTTACCCCCTTCACCATATCCCCATTGTCTTGGAGCTTCAGCATTGGGTAGTGGGTGCACCCAGAATACACATGCCTTATTTTTGTAAGGTGGAAATCTTCCACAACATTCTCATTTTATGCTTTTTTGTACTAGTAGAACACCCGTGCGATGCATAGTTGGTGAAATTTCACCGGTGTAATTTTAGTTGAATACAAATTGCATTTTTTAGACGAATTGCCCGTGTAAACAGGCAAAATAGGATGGTGCAAGTATGTGAAAGTGATTTATATCATTCTGAAACTATACTTGAATACAAACATGTGTGAAAATGCTCAAATAGATTTTTCTACTATTTTTCAAAGCGATCAAGGGAGTGTTTCACATTCTTTAATTCCATTAACACCTAAAAGGGTTAATTATAGTAAGAATACATAGTAATAATCTTTTATACCATCTTTATTTACAGTACCACCCGTGTGATGTACAATGTGTGATTATTTTAAAAATATATATGAGTGTTTGTTATGAATCAAAATAATGAAAAAATCAAGCGCTATAGGCCTATAAGCACATAAATACGGAGTAAAATGAAGGGAGGTACAGAGACATTTATTTTTGTGTAGTGTAAATAAAAAAAGTCCATCATTTGCAATGGAGCCAAAGATTCATTATTTTTTGGCTTGAGAATATGATGGAATAAAGCAAAATGGCTCGCTAAACTGTCTGCGCTTCTTTGTTATGAAGCAGCAGTCACTCCATGCATTTTTGGACGCGATTTTCACTATGGGTCATCCGGAAACAGTCTCTCTGTGTTAGTAAAGGGGTAAGATTGTGTACATCCGACTCCCCCTCTACCCCACCGTAGGTGGGACGTGGGAGCCTTTGCGGCACTGGGGTAAATGAAAATGATGAAAATGGTGATGATGTAAATAAAAAACACTCCAAGATTAGTTATTTAAACCATAATTGTTAAAATGACCAAATTTCATACTATCCTCCGTATCGTATTAGTTGCAACATTTTGTGTACACGAAGTAGCTTTTTCTACAATTTAATGCGTTATATTTGTGAGTTTTTTTAATAGAAATTGGACATTTAATCTTCTCACAGAACATTCATGGTCTCTTATTTTTCTGCAAAACCTTCATACTCTTCTGCTCATCGCTCTTTGCTTTATTAAATTACCCTCCCATGATTTTGTTTTCTTATTGTCAATTTTGACTTTTGAGTCACCTTATGTGCTTCACATCTTCTTTTAGTTACCTAAAGTAAGACATTTTAGCAACCATAACTAACCCTCTTACATTTCAATTCTCAGATTAAAAATATTGAGCCTCTTATCCGTGTCCCTATTCAATTCAACATATAATTCAACATTTCAATTTGTATTTGTATTATGACAGTTTCTGCTGTGGAACAACTTCAAGGAATGGCCTCGAAACGTCAATACAAAAAGGCTGCTGCACAGCTAGAGGTACTTTAGCATTTGCTTCTGCACTCACCATCCACAATTTTTCATTAAAGAGTGAGTGAATCACTTTTATAGCTGCGATGCTTTCCAGAAAACAACCCATACCCATGATATCGCTTGGTCTCACAACTTCTCTTAATTACTTCCATTCCTATTGATATCTCCCAGATGAAAAGAATTAAGAAATACTACCTCCTTCCCATAATGTAAGATACATGTGGGTTTGATGTGGGTTTTAAGAAAATAAAAGATAAAAGTGGTTGTTTTACAATTCTACCTCCAAAAAGTATGAAAGAGTAAGACAGCTCCACAAAAAGTAAAGGATGAAAGGATAGACAAAGGGATAAAGTGGGAAAATAAGAAGTTAGTGGAGTTCATTTCAGGAAACTGTTCATATTTTTGGGACAAGTTAAAAAGGAAAGTGTATCTTAAAAATTTGGATGGAGGGAGTAGAAAACAACTATACAAGATTTGGAATATTGAACACTTATGTTCCTTGGATTTGACTTCTGCATATATTCTGTATAGAAGGATTAGAAGCTTTGTATTGATGTCTGATGCTAGTGACGTTTTTATGGATTTTAAGTCTCATACTACAATGTCCATGTGATTGACACCAAACAGACTTTAACGCTACAACTTTACCGGTATCGATTGAGTGATTGACTAAGAGAAGATTGGTTTGAAGAACACATTGCATTTTGTATGTGAATTTATGGATGAAATAGGTGTAGTCTTTCTACTAGTAGTAGCTTTCTTGTGTCTATATTGAGAGATTTGCAGAAGTCTCTCGCATGTTCCCATAAAGTTATATGATGGAGGAAGCACCATACATATACATAGGAGAATGATCAAGTAATGTAGGCCTAAGATGCACAGTCTAAGACCTCTCTCATTTTTAGCAATTTAATGAGTTTAATGTCCAATTTTTATGCTGATTAGTATTAACTATTGATTTTAGCCGTTTGATTTAAAATTTGTAAAAAGACATACACGTTATACTTCTCACCTTTTCACTTTCAATACTAATCTAATGTTTAAGATTAATTTATTATTAGAAATAGACTTTCCTTGGTAAAACTTAATTTTTAACATGATCTAACGGTTATAACTAATACTTTATGGATAAGTAGAGAAATTGAGATAAGTTGATCCATCTTTGGCCTAAAATGAAAGAGGCCTAAGATTGTGCATCTTAGGCATACCTTACATGATCATTCTCCAATACACGCATTTCTTGTATGAGTTCAAATATGACGTGCTTCGTAATCTATAATGAATTTCAGGCTGTGAACCAGTTGTGTAGTCATTTCGAAGCATATAGGGACATTCCCAAGATTACTGAGCTTAGGGAGAAGTTCAAAAGTATCAAACAAGTCCTTAAATCTCATGTGTTCTCTGACTTCTCCAGGTATATATACTTGATCTCTGAGGAGTGGTGTCTGTGTAACCTGATTTATATGCTTCTATAGATATTGAACATTAAAACTTTAGAATGAGTTTACTGGAGGTTTCCCTTTCTATTTCATAAATGTGCTCAACTGTCCAATATATTTAACTGTGCTGGTTGAAGATGTGAGGATATATTTGTAAAATTTTAACCGTGTTAAAGATACACTATCTAGCATGGTTTTAAGAAAACAAAAGAGTTAGTTTTTATTTACAATGGGATCTCATAAAAAGAAGAAAAAATAGTATGAGTACCGCAAAAACTAAAAGTTAAAATGGTAGGTAACATGATAAAAAAGTAATAAGGTAATGAAGTTCAAATTAGGAAAGTGATCATATTTTTTGGATCAGACAGTAAGGGAGTGTTTATCTAATAAAATGGGACAAAGGGAGTACTAAACTGAGTTTTCAATTCCTTTTGCCTCTTTTTTCTTCATCCTCTATTTATTTGGAAAAAGAGAAAGAGGTGTAGGAAGTTTCTCAAATTTCTTTTACTATAGTGACTCTCTAAAATTGGAAAAAATTAATTGTATGTTGGTTTGGTCGTAGCAACTAGGTGCTACTAGTGTGTGATAAATCAGTGTGTATACGCTACTCTGTGACATTATGAGCCCGTTTTATGCCCACTTTTTGGCTTACCGACCTATTAGACCATTTTTTTTGGTTATTTTGTACCAAATTTATTTGATAGCTAATAAAAAGTAGTGCTGATCTTTTTGGCTGAAATGGCCTAAATGAAGATAAATGAATATTTTACCTTTTTTTTAGTCTTTTTAGATATTACTCACTCCGTCCCAATTTGTAAGATACTTTACGGTTTACGATGTTTGACCGACGATAAAGCAAATTGATCCCTGTCAACACTCGAATTAGTTTTACAAAATAAAATTTACATATTCAGAAACTACATTAAAACTGCTACAAAACCTGCAAAAAATAATTCAAATTTCATAAACTTTTGATATGTAAAATAAAAGATTAAGAGTAATTTATGTTGACCAAGTGAATAGTAAATGTATCTTACCATTTGGGACTGTGGGAGTATTTGTTTTAAATTGAGGTAAGGGTCAGATTGGTACTCGAAGTTGCATAAAAAGAGTCAAATAAGTCCTTACTGTCCGGCCGTCACCATTTAAGGCGGTTCCCAGTAGAGTGTTTGATGAATTTTTTTGAGCATCTTTTTCATTAAGTCTAGTTTACTCATATCAAATTTCAGCTAAAAATTCAATCGGGAAGGCATTCAAATGAAATTTTGAAGATAACTGCGCTTTTAACTGCGCAGTTATCTTCAAGAATTCATTTGAATGCCTTACCGGTTGAATTTTTAGCTGAAATTTGGTATGAGTAAACTAGACTTAATGAATAAGATGCTCAAAAAGTTTCATCAAAAAATTCTTCCGGGAACTTCCCCAAATGGCGACGGCCGGAGAGAGCCTCCTATATAAGGACTTATTTGACGCTTTTTATGCAACTTCGAGTACCAATCTGACCCTTACCTCGTTTTAAATTTATCAAATTATATACTTATTTTAGATTTTAGATAATTCAGTCCAACCAGAATTCTAGAATTTCAACCCCAATATTAGCAAATTCAAGTATTCAACCCATTTAGCCATTCCAACCAAATGTACTTTTACAGATCTACCAATTATTAGTAATTTGTTTTGCTCCACGTGCAGCCTAGGGACAGGGAAGGAGACGGAAGAAAGTAATTTGCTGCAGCAATTATCAGATGCGTGCTTAGTAGTTGATTCTCTTGAGCCATCCGTGAGAGAAGAACTGGTGAAGAATTTTTGTAGCAGAGAGCTCAACTCCTACCAACAAATATTTGAAGGAGCCGGTATGCCTATTTAAGTATTTATAATAGAGCATTTTTATCCTCTTTGAAATAAACAGAGATTGGTTTGTAAGGTTTAAATTGATGTCCATGATCTTGACAATCTATTGCGTTTCAACATTCTACAGAACTAGCAAAGCTAGACAAGACTGAAAGGAGATATGCTTGGATAAAGCGTCGTTTGAGAACAAATGAGGAGATCTGGAAAATATTTCCCCTTTCTTGGCGTGTTGATTATTTGCTTTGCATCCAGTTCTGCAAGTTGACAAGGTTCGGTTATGTTTATTATTAGATGGTAAAGAACTAAGTATGATGATCCTCTCTTCACACCTGGTTTTACTTTCACTATCCTGTTTAGATCACAACTTGTTGAGATCCTTGGCAACCTTAAAGAAAAACCTGATGTTTCAACACTGTTGGTGGTAAGTGAAAGGTGTTTTTATTTTGTTTTCTTTTTTGTTCTTTTAGTGCATGATGATATGTGTTGATAACATATACATTGAATTTGGTCAGAATGCAATTAGACTTGACTTGACAAAACTGGATGGATTTGTACAATATTCCTAAAGCTATAAGATATTTTCTATGCTAAATATTTTCATGAGCAATTTTGGCCATCTTTCCTGGAGTGTTTGCTATAGTTAGCACAGTAGGTGTCAGACGGTCAGACCGCAATAAATTCCAACCTTGTGCTGGTGGTCATCGTGACTATCAGGGGAAAATACTGTTAAAAACTAGGCCTTTATATTAGTGAAAATAAATGCAATGTCAAGAATTAATTTGGACACTCCTTGATGCTGCTGTGAGCACAAACTTTGATCTTCCCTATCATGGATTTATGATACTGTTTCACCAGATACTCCCTTTGTCTCTAAATAATCTACATAATATATTTTCCGGTCGTCCCAAAATTATGATGCATTCCTTTTAACGAAAACAATATGCGGTTCACAACTTCACATTACCTGTCTTCTCAATAAATTTCAAGCACAATTTTCATTTTCTTAGTTCCCTTGCCCAGTCTGAGTGGGTGTGTAAATAAGGACGGAGGGAGTTTTAGGCATTTAGTCTGTACTCTGTAATCTGTTTCACTACCAAATAGCACAGTACTGCATATTTCAGTAAATTAGCAGATAATATCTCCTATGGAATTTCATACGAAGTGTTTTTCTCTCCAGGCTTTACAGCGGACATTGGAATTTGAGGAAGAGTTAGCAGAGAAATTTGGCAGTGGCAGCCGTAGCAAAGAATCATATAATGCCGAGGATATAGATAGACTTGGACAGAACAGTCAGACAGTTTCGGACATTCGAAAAAAATATGAGAAAAGGCTTGCTGCACATCATAAAAGTGAAAACGATGTATGTATAATTTTTAATTTTGATTGCTTTTTTGAGGGGAGAGAAGGGGAAGTTTCATTCTACTGTATATTCATCCTTAGTTTCTACATTATACTCTTGAGTCTTGACACTTTTTAAGCTTATAATGTTGAATTAAATCAATCACACGTGGCATAAAAATGCATATGCTTGTGGTCTCAGTTTTTTATTCATTCATTTATTTAATTATTTATTTATTAACTTATTCTCCCTATATTTCTTGTTATTAGGAGCATGATGTACACAAAGATTTATCAGTACCTGGAGCTGGGGTAAATTCTATTGGATTCTCAAGTTGCTAATTGCCAGTCTTTCAAGCTCAGAAAGTTTTTTCATCAATGTTGCACACTTGCACCATAGAGATGCGTATTGGGCTCTATTTTGATGCAAATAATTGTTTCCTCCATCTATTTATGAAGCATATCTGAAAGTTTCAATCTGCTAACATATTTTTTGTATTGAACTTAATAACCAGTTAAAATTCCTAAGTGCTGTTGAGATTAAGCTATATTGGTAAATGGTGATCGATTCTTCAATGAATTGGCTGTTCTTTTACAGCCAAATTGATTAATCTGGAGATGTTAATTGCTATGAATTGTATTATGTTTACAATGCAGTTCAATTTCCGTGGGATCATTTCATCTTGCTTTGAACCTCACTTGATTGTATATGTTGAGTTGGAAGAGAAGACATTGATGGAGAGCCTAGAGAAACAAATGCAGGTACCTTGAATTTATAGTGATAGTTTGGTGTGTATTGAGTGCTATAGCATGCTTCCTTTCTAGCATTCTTTCAGCAGTTGATAGTGTTTTGCACCGCGGACCACAGGAGGAGACCTGGGAAATTGATGAGGGAAGTCAGACTAATATATTATCCAGTGGCATTCAGGTAATTTCCATATATTATGTATTATGCATATGTAAATACATTGTTTTTTTATTAATGGACCAACTTGCATTTGTGTTTGCCAAAATGTCTCCTATTCATGCAAAATGATATTAAAAGAAACAAATGCAATTTCATCCTTCCTGGGGTTGCTGCTACTGAAACTTTTACTGGACAGTAGCGCGAAGTAATGGAGTGTTACATATTTTGTCCCTTGGAAATAAAACATTATACTATCACAATGAGCATTGAGTAGATTTTTTTACCATTCTAAACTCTGCCGGCATCAAGAACTAAAAACTACCTACCCTTGAATGTCTTTGATTTTCTGTTATATTATGACTTCATTTCCCACATCTATGATTAAGGTATGTCTTGATATGTAAATCATATAATTGCTCGATGAATCTGATGATGTGATCATGCTGTATTTGTACTAAGTAGGCACACTGACGTAATGAGTCAACACCAGTACTCAAGTATATATTGGAGTTATATTGCTATATCTGTTAACATTGTACAGCTTCCTACTAACTTATTCTGGGTTTACACTTCTACTTTTAAAGGTTTTTGCCATTATCAAGAGAAGCTTGAAGCGCTGCGGTGCTTTGACAAAAAACGAAACATTATTTAATTTGTTCAAGGTGTGGTTTCTTGCCGATCATTTTATTACTCCTTGTTTGCTCTGTACTCTCTAGAAGAATCATAAAGTCAAAAGTGTACTTCAGGATTGTGTCATTTAACAAGTTTCAAAATTTTAGTTTCTGAAAGGGAACTTAGTTCAATGAAATTGTATGTTCATTTAACTGGTATGTCGCACATGTTAAATTCTTATTAGGTATTTCAAAAAATACTTAAAGCATATGCGACAAAGCTGTTTGCTAGGTTGCCAAAGGGTGGTACAGGAATTGTAGCTGCAGCAACAGGCATAGATGGACAAATAAAGGTATTCATTTCTTAAGTCAGTTGCAACCATTTTCACTATCTTATGATTCTATGCTGTGCTTGTGATCAAATTACTACTTATTTCAGACGTCTGACAAGGATGAAAGGGTCATTTGTTATATCGTAAACACAGCTGAATATTGCCACAAAACGGTATGTTTTTTCCCGAATGTGCACACTTACAATAACAATGGTTACCAAAATAGTGATGTGAACCCCTCACGGTTTTCAAAGTTGTAAGACTTACTATATTCGGTAACACTTATAAATTTGAGAACAATCTTCTTTCCTTCTGTTCCTGCTATAAAATTTTTATTTCTGATATGGTGACAGTCTGGCGAGTTGGCGGATAATGTGTCCAAAATTATTGATCATCAATTTGTGGATAAGGTGGATATGTCTGAAGTGCAGGTAGAAGAATGGCTAATATTTCTGTATATATTTTCTTCTACGGAAATTTGGTATTTGTGCATACATGTTTACCCCAATATCTAACTTTGGATCTCCTGTTATATTATCTTTGACTTTGCATCCTACAGTAGCCAGTAGGTGCAAAGGTTAACAAAAAATTGATATTTGCACTCCATGGGGTGTAAAGTTAGATATTGAGGTAATCTTGCTGTGCAGATGCCAAATATTTCTTATATAGTAAACATATCAATGAGTTTGGAAAGTATTTCAGGATGAATTTTCCGTAGTTATCACAAAGTCTTTGATGACATTAGTACATGGTTTAGAAACAAAATTTGACACGGAAATGCTTGCAATGACTCGCGTTCCTTGGGGTACACTTGAAAGTGTTGGGGATCAATCAGAGTAAGACGCAAACTCCTGACCACCATTACTAGTCTACTGATATTTAAGATTTTCTTATTCTGCTTACATCTTCTACAGGTATGTCAATGGCATAAATACTATCCTCACAAGTAGCATCCCTGTCCTTGGGAACCTTTTAACTCCCATTTACTTCCAGTTTTTTCTAGATAAGGTGAAAAATCTTTAAATCTGTTGAACCTGCATCTATTTTCCTATCCTTTTTACAGCCTTTATAAATTTTAGCTGTATGTACGAAGGGAACATGAAGTAATAAAATGAAACGCTTCTACCTCTATATATCATATTGAAGCCATCTGCATGTTTATTCTTTCTCCCACTTTTTGATCACTTGACACTTGTTTTGTTTTGTTTTGTTTTGTTTTGTTTTGTTTTGTTTTGTTTTGTTTTGTTTTGTTTTGTTTTGTTTTGTTTTTCTTCCTATTCTCATTTAGAAACTTATGCTTTCTTGTATTGCTATTTTTAAATTTCAGCTGGCATCGTCTCTTGGCCCGCGCTTCTACCTCAATATATTCAAATGCAAGCAAATATCAGAAACTGGAGCACAACAAGTACTGATCATTTTCACCTATGCTGTTTATCTGAACTATTTTTGATTTCGTACTCTGCATCATGTTTTATTATTTCACTGAGTAGATGCATGAAGATTTAAAGATTTGAAAAGATTACAGGACACGGAGCAACAACAGCACTTGTACAGATTACACTCTCTCCATCCCAAATTAGTTTGCATTTTAGAGAAGTGCACAGTAATAAAAAATCTAACAAATGACCTTTCTATCATTGTTTAAGTTTTAAATTAAATGCATTTTATTTCTTCCGAAACTATTACCGCATTTACTGTAGGTAGAGTGTACATTTTGAATTCCTAAATGGCAATTTATTTTTAGATTATAGATTGTTGTAGCGTCAACAAATTTTGGGCGGAGGAAGTCGGTAACAGTATAAAATTGTATGTTCCCAATAGGCTAATACTTACTTCATTGTTCTGGACATGAAAATGATCTTGTGACATTGCAGATGTTGCTGGATACTCAAGCCGTAAAGACTATTCTTTTGGAAATTCCTTCTCTTGCCAAACAAGTATGTTAGCGAAATCATTAAATTATGACTATTTCAAATAAAGTGTACTATAGTTTGGGTGTCATCACACCCATGATTATATATTTCTTCTTGAATCTATGGTACACAGACATGAGCACACAAGAAATGAGAATAGATTTTCCTTAAAACAAAAACACTTCACAGTTCACGCTCATAAAAAAAGAAAAAGCAGGATTTAAAAATAACAAATGTCTTGCATCTTCAAGTTCATACATGTGATCAATAACTTTTCCCCCTCATCTACTCTTCTCTACTCTTCTCCTTTCCTGATTAGACATCAGGAGCTGCTGGATATTCAAAATTTGTAAGTCGTGAGATGAGCAAAGCTGAAGCATTGTTGAAGGTCAGTGGCCAAATTGCTTCTTGTAAACGAATTTATATGCATGTATCATCTGTCATTAAAATGAATTAATTTTGTGTTTAATAGGTTATATTGTCCCCATTTGACTCCGTAGCTGATACTTATTGCGCACTTCTGCCAGAAGGAACACCTACAGAGTTTCAGCGAATACTGGAGCTTAAGGTTGTACTCAATCTCATTCAGCCATTTTCCGTCCGTGTTCTATCTGCCTTTGTATAACTAGATAGCATAACTTCAAGAGTATGTTTGGATACCTGAAAATGCAATGGAGTGAAAAAGCAGTACTCACTATGTCCCCAAATTAGATTCTCGTTTACTTTTGACACACTTTTTAAGAAAATGAAAGCGTGTCATTAAATAAACTTAAGTTAAAAATATTATCCTCATTATTATTTTTCTGCTTTCTTATGTTTGTTGTTACATTGAAAAATGCAATGGAAACTCAAAACTGAAATATGATTACTTTCTTAATTTTATAAACATATTTCTAGATGTTTTAGTCTTATAGAAGACAAGTAATATAAATGAGTATCAATGAATATTTAATATCAGCTCAATGAGATTAGCACATATTTTTATTTTCCTGCACATTTTCCATTTTTTCTTTACTTTTTCCTTCCTGGGATCCAAACGAAGACAAAAAGTTGATTATAAAAAGTCAAAAGACAACAGAACGTACTCTTCCCACACTGCCCATCCCTCATCACTGCTGCTGTGGTAATTGTTTCGAGTAACACCACAAACAATGGTTTGTCTTGATTTATTGCTTGCTTAGGAGCTTATTTAAATTACCGGGTGCGTACATATTGTGGTCCTAATTTATCTGTTGAAATCTTGTTATGGTATGTTTGAGTTTCAAGCTCTCTGATCTCCCCATATATATTATTATAAATTTGAAAACAGGGACTGAAGAAATCTGACCAGCAAAGCATACTAGACGATTTCAACAAAAGGGGGACAGAGATGGGTCAGCAGACTATGGTTGCCCCTCCAGCTGCCCCAAGCACCACATCGTCTTCAATTGTAGTAGCACCTGCTATAAATAATAACACGGTTGCACCAGCAGTGTCTATCTCATCAAGAGAGGATGTGCTAACCAGAGCAGCTGCGCTTGGAAGAGGTGCAGCCACAACTGGGTTTAAAAGGTTCCTTGCCTTGACTGAAGCTGCCAAAGATCGAAAAGACGGCCCCTTCAGGAAGCTTTTCAATGCCTGAAAACGCTCTTTCTTTTTTGGGGTTCGCTTCTCTTACTCTCTCGCTCACCCAATCCTCACCCAATCCTGCCAGATTATTTATTGTACACTAAAGTTTCAAATATTGTTTGCACATGATATGACATAAGCTCGTCCGTAGTGGTTTTGGAGATTTTCTGTATATTAATATCGAGTTGAGATCCATGAGTTAAATTCAAACATGCGATTGATAATTGTAGATCATTTTTAAATTTTGTGAGGGTATAATTGTAGATCATTTATATCGTAGGGGAATCAATCGGCGTGGCACAGTAGGCACAATGGGAGGAGGTCGAGGTCGTCGATGGTATACTTGTAATGGGCGGTCTACCATAGGAGAGCAATTTGGGTGCCCATCAGATGAGGGGTGAATGGGAGTCTCCAGAGGTGAGGTCCAAACATGATGGAGTATCAACCGAAGATAATGGATAATAAAAGGACGACTCAATGAAAGTGACATCGGCTGAAATAAAATGTTTCTTAAGTAATGGAGAATAACAACGATAACCTTTTTGGAGACGCGAATATCCAAGCAAGATACACTTTATTGACCTAGCCGACATTTTAGCTAATCTAGGGGTTGCATCATGGACAAAACACACACACCCAAACACATGAGGTGATAATGGAAATAAATCACGGTCAGCAAAATAGAATAGGGAATTTCATTATTAAGAACTGAGGAAGGCATTCTATTTACCAAGTGACACGCAATGAGCACAACATCTGCCCAATACTGAGGTGGTGTATGTGAATGTAATATAATAGGGTACGAGCAGTATCAATCAAGTGTTGATTCTTGCGTTCAGCAACCCCATTTTGTTGAGGCGTGTGAACACAAGAAGATTGGTGAAGCATACCTCATGATGTCATGAATTGATTAAAGTATGGCCCAAAAAATTCTTTAGCATTGTCACTGCGTAAAATTTTGATAGAATGACCAAACTGAGTTTGAACTTCAGCATAAAAAGTTTGAAAAATATGAAACAATTCGAAACGCTCTTTCATTAAAAACAATCATGTGTAACGGGAAAAATCATCCACAAAAATAACAAAATAACGGAAACCTAAAGTAGAAGTGACTCGATACGGACCTCATACATCTGTATGAACTAAATCAAACGGTGATGTAGCTCGTTTATTGACTCGTCTGGGAAAGGATTTACGAGGTTGTTTTCCAAGGTGACATGACTCACAATCTAAACTCTAAAGATGAAAGATTTGAGAAACTTGGAACCATACGTTGAAACTTTGAGAGACTAGGATGACCCAGGCGGTAATGTAAGATAATAGCAGGTTCAACTGAAACACAAACAGTTGGATCAAGAGGATGGAGATGATACAGACCTTGAGATTCATGGCCGACACCAATCGTTTCCCCCGTACAATGGTCCTGCACAATCACAAAATCAGCAGAAAATGTTACGGAACAATTAAGAGCAAGTGTAATTTTACTGACAGAGATAAAGTTAAAAGGGGTGTTTGGGACATATAAGACTGAGTCTAATGGCAAGGATAAAAGTGGAAGTGCTTGCCCAATACCTGAAGCCGAAGTCTGAAGCCCATTAGCAAGAGTAATCAAAGGAAGATGGCGATGCTTGGTAATATGGGATAAAAGATGGGGATTACCAGAAATATGGTCCGAGGCACCTGAGTCAATAATCCATGAGCCTGTTGTGTTTGAAACACAAGCGGTAGACATCCCGGGTGTAGATAAAGGCATATTAGTCAACTTATATTGTTGATATGCTGCATATTCTTCCGGTGATAGAACAATAAGAGATGGTGGTAGCTGAGCAACATGGGTTGAGGGGGGTGACCTCTCATGCAATTTCCAACACCTGTCTTTAGTATGACCAATTTTATGACAAAAATCACATTTCAGACGATTCCATCTTGAGTATCTGGTCTTGTTTCCTTTGTCAGAACTCATAAAAGACATTTTTTTTTGTTTACTGATTTTTTTACTGATTTTTATTTAATGTAAAGAGAAAGTTGAAAAGTAAGTGAGTAATTTAAATTACTGCTCTACAGAAAAGCAGAGAGTCAGCAACGGAAAGCAGCAGTAATTTAACCACTATGATAAGAGATTAATAAATGAACCAATTAACTACTATGATAAGAGATTAATAAATGAACCAATTAACTAGTTTAAGAATTAAACAATTTATTTCGAATTAACTAGTTTACCAATTAACTAGTTTTTATAGGAGATTAATAAATGTAACAATTAACTACTATGATAAGAGATTAATAAATGTAACAATTAACTAATTTAACAATTAAATAATTAATTTCGAATTAACAAAATTCGAACTATTTGTTTTACAATCTAACAACTTTATTTAACAAGTTTAACAATTAACTAGTTTTTATAGAGATTAATAAATGTAACAACTAACTACTATGATAAGAGATTAATAAATGTAACAATTAACTACTATGATAGGAAATTAATAAATGTAACAATTAGATAATAGGTGTAGAAGTAGATATATACTTAATATATATATATATATTTATAAGTAGATAATAAGTAGATTAACTAGTAATATATAATATTATGTTTATAGTATATATAATATAAGTATATTACTATAAGATTAGTAATACACTTATATATAATATTTTAATATATATAAGTATATATTAAGTATATCTAAAATGTAAATATAAGTAAATAAATTAGAGATGATTATATATGTAAATATAATATAATATATGTAGTTATAAATTGGAGAAGATGAAGATGGAGAAGATTAGTGGAGAATAGAGATTAGAGAGTAGGAATATTTGGAGAAGATGTGTAGTAAATTGTATAGAAAAAATGGAGTATTTATAGTTTTTTTGTACCCCCACCCCCCCTAACCCACCCCGGGACCCCAGGAAGGCTCCCAACGGCTATATAGCCGTTTGGGTTCAATCACAACGGCTCTAAGGCCGGTTTGGATGGCCAAAAGATTTTTTTAAAAAAACTAGCCGTTGGCCCAAACCGGGCCCGAACCGGCCGGGCCGGGCCTCCAATTTTCAGAACCGTGCCCGAACCGCTCCCCTCCCCCGGGCCGGGTCAAAGCCCGAACCTCCCTATCCTTAACCGGGCCGGGCCGGGCCCGCACAGTGGCGGGTCGGGTCGGTTCAGGGCCGGATCGGCCCGGTTTGGTCCATCCCTAGCAGTAAAGCAGGAGTAGCGAACCAGAGAGCCCAGCGGAAGAAACATCATGTATACTGCGAACTAGGTTGAGCAGCGGACAGACCAGCGGCAAGTTGACAGAAAGACAGTGACAGTACAACCGACCTGGGCGTCGACTGGGTTCAGCGGCGGCACGTGAGATCGGCGGCGGCGCGTTGGTTGTCCGATGACTATCTGGTTTATGATGTTTTGGTCGCCAGGAGCCCCAGATCTTCACCGTGTCGTCTGTGTGAGCTCAAGAAGAGTAGAAAGAGAGAGATCTGCAAAGAAAGGCGAAGGGACTGTGGCAGTCGTTGGCGGCGCGTGGCGGTGCGTGGAGGGTGCAGCGAGGGTGAGGTTTCAGGTGTGAGGTCGCGATGGTGTACTGAGCATGGCGGTAAGTGTGGATTTGATATATCACTACCAAAAGTGCTCAAACACTAAATGCTTCTACTCTTCACGGCGGATTTTCTTGCCGGAAATTACGAATACTATATCCAAGGACATATGTGGCTCTGATACCACGTGAACAAGTATTGTTGTATTTCATATACTTGATATTAAAATGATATACAAGAAGCTATATTTATACCTATATTTAGAGTACTAGGGTTTCCTATACAAGATATACAAATGGGCTAAGCCCAATACTACTAGGGCTTCCACACATATTATTATTGAAACTTATTGATAATTACAAACTAACATCTGAGGATTCTGAGCAAAGATACATAAAAGAAACCACCTTGTAGCACGAAATGTATGAGTGATAAGTTCGTATTACAACACGCATTTGATGCGTGTTGGAGTCGGATTTTGATGATTTTCCTAGCTTTAAGGCGTTGCAAGTCTCAATTTTGGCTCAAGTTGTGATTATCAGGCATTTGGTCGACTGTCGAGTTTTATTACATTTGGAGTCAAATTGGAGAAGTTAGAGACCGACATCGGCGCTTAAAGAGGCAAGCGGGAAGATTTTGGAAGCATTCAAGACATATTTGAGAAATTTGGAGGTCACCGGAAGATTCACGACGAAATTCTGATGAAGAAAGAGCATTTGGATCGACCTCATATGCATCGTGCCTGGGCCTGGGCACGATCGTGCCCGAAAACGAAATACGGAGAGGCTAGTGCAAGCCAAACACGATCGTGCCTGGCAGGGAGGCACGATCGTGCCTCCACCCGAGAAACGCACATGCTCCGCAGGCATGGAGGTAGGCACGATCGTGCCTGACACCGTGCTTGCTTCCGGAAATCCTAGTTCAACCCAAATTTTGCCTTTTTTCTATAAATAAGGCATCCATTCTCCCATTCAGGGGTTCGGAAACTTAGAGAGAGGCTTAGGGACAAGTTATACGTTATTTTTCCGCTATTTTGTTCAAGACCTTGAGATTCTTTGTAAGTTTCATCTTTTTAATTAATGACAATTATTTCTATTCAACCCAATTCTATTGATTTATCAATTATGAGTTGTGAGTAGTTTAATTACGGATTTGGGGTTGATGAAGGGGTTAATCATGATTTATGGCTAGATACTTATCGGTTTAATTGTATGAATGTCCTTTAATTTGTGTTTGAATAATTTAACTGATATCTTTTGTAACCTAGAACGCGTGCTAGAATTACAATTGCTTGCAGAATAAATTAAGAGAGATCTAGTTTATTCTATGACACATTCACACACTTATTCGTTCGCTAAGAGATTAGTAGCGATTAAGGGGTCGTATGCTCGCTCGTCTTGGCAATAATTTAGGATCCTGTCGCATGAGAGATCAACCTGGTCCCCTAAATTATTGTACTCTACGCAGCGAGAGCGGTAAAAACTTAGTAATGATTAGCTAGGCTTAATTAAATTAATTTCATGTAATTAGGCCTAATCTGTCAGAAATCTGGTTACCTCGGAATCAATCCTTGTTCCTTTCGTCGTTAATTGAGAAGAAACCAATATTTTATTTTATTGCTCTTTAGCATTAGTTTAATTTTCCAAACCAATCAATCTCGCACAATTGCATTTTATTTTATTTTATTTTATTTTTATGGCTGAATTTAGTTAAT